AATTAAAATGGCTCAATGTTGAAAATTTTATTAAATACCTTGTAATGATGTTCATTTTTAAGTAAAAAATGATATATTTCCACCATTAACTAAACGAAACGTCATCAAATGTCGCCCATCATTTACATAATACCACAAAGAAAGATGAGTTCCATTTAATGTCGAAAAAGTATGATACACGTTATGGTAGTCATTATTGAAATGGGTAATAGGGGGGTCAAAACAAGTCAAAAAGTTCATATGACCCATGGTCCAAAAGTCAATAGGTTTTTGTCTAAATGGCTTTATAGTTTTTAAATTGGGTAATTAACAAGTAAATGGCATTATGTTTTTCTAAGTTAAGCCAAAATTTCTAGTAAGTAAGTAAGTAAGTTTCATTAAATTAAATATTTAAAACACACATGACAACAGCGCGTCGGTCATTCATCACTCTTATCGAACCGGCAATCGATCGCAAACGGTAACAGTGGTTAGTTATTGTTCGCGTACGTCGCCGCGTTTATTTACAATGTTCTCGAATCAAGAGTTTGGCGACATGTTGTTAGTTTACGGTGAAGCTCGTCAGAATTCAAATCTTGCAGCTCAAATTTATCGCTACTTTCGCCAACGGGTACACCCAGACAGACGGACATTTGTGCAGCTGTACCAAAGACTTCAAGATACAGGAAGTGTTCAGCCCACTAATATTCGCACTCGTGAAATACAGGTTACTGTAGAGCAGGAGGAACTAATTTTAAATATCCTGGAAATTAATGCAGATATCAGCACTCGGGAATTAGGCCGCCGCGTAGGACTATTGCATACCATAGTCCATAGAATCCTACGGGAAAATCTGCTTTATCCTTACCATGTACAACGAGTGCAAGCCATGTTACCAGAAGACTATCCTCGCAGACTAACATTCTGTCAGTGATTTTTGCACAAAAATATTGAAAATCCGGATTTTTTAAAAAACATTCTAGCGACGGACGAATGTACTTTTACGCGAGACCGGATATTAAATGTCCATAATGCTCACACGTAGAGGCCCAAGAAAATCCTCATACCATTCGTGAAGGTCATTTCCAACAACGTTTTAAAATAAATATTTGGGCGGGTATTCTTGACGATCAGGTAATTGGCCCTTTCCAGTTACCCAGACCTTACACAACATGCCATGACAGAATTTGTGGTTTCTTCATGACGGGGCACCACCACGCATTTTTAGAGGCGTTATTCAGTATTTGAATGAACATTATCCAAATCGCTGGATCCGTCGAAATGCTCCTGATCCTCGAAAATGGCCAGCAAGATCTCCTGACCTCAATCCGATGGATTTCGGGTATTGGGGAGAACTTAAAGGGATGGTTTATGGGGCTGGTCCAATAACAACTGAAGCACAACTTCGCGAAAAAAATTTAATGCGGCTGAAATAATAAATGGACAACTTCGAGGACGAAGAGTAAGAAGAAACTGGGTTCGTCGTAATAAAGCTTGTGTGGAAAGTGGAGGATGACATTTTGAACACCTTCTTTAAATACAAAAAAGTGCAGTGTGGGTTTTGAAAAGAAAAACAATGTATGTATCAAAATTATGTTCCCTATTTATAAGTGGATTTTTTTAATACGTTCAATAAACTTTCACACACCAGGTGAAGCCCTGAGACAGTTAGTGGTAAGACTCCATCTCCATCTTTATTTACACTGCGTTCCGTCGTAATTTGCTTCTGGCATTGCGGCGTTGTCAGATTTTATTTTACTTTAAAGTCGCTTTTCTCTAAAAAATGCCGTTTTGACACCCATGTTATATGAAACTTTTTGCTTCTTTTAATCCCCTCTATCACCCATTTAAATAATGACTATCATAACGTTTACACCCTGTATGTTACAAATCAGTATTCCATCAAGGGTTGATTGAATATGACAAATTAAATACAGAGATAAAAGACCAGAATACTTTGACAACATTCAAAGTAAAATTGAGGAATCACTTCTTAAATCCACAATTGTAGCTTGCCCACATAGCTTGAATTCACTAATTCTAATTTGTTTATGATTATTCTGTCTGGAGTCGACACTTACTTGTCTATGTGTGTTCATTTAAACAGACCTGTCAAACTACAGAAAATATCTGTTTCTATTTCTAAGAGGTGCGGTAGTATTACCGGAATCAAAAGCCTCTTAATAATAGAACGTTTTTGACTGACACTAAAGATGCAACATTTACATTTTCCCAGCCTTCAGATACTACTACTACAAGAAAATGTTCGAAATGAGTGTCTGAAACGTCGAAAATCACAATATAAATATTTTTTGTACATGGCATAGTAGTAATCTTGTGATAAAATGTCACCAAAATCCGAGAGGTACATTTCGAGATATAGAGGGGTCCAGGATAAGCGGACAGACAGACATATCGATGAAAATGAAGGATTAGGTTGTTCGTTATGTACGAGCTCCTTCCCACTTTAGTTGGCTCAACTATTGAAATCTTAGTTTTTTTCTTATCAAACACAAATAATAAAAATGTAGCAGGGTGTTATAGGTTTAAAATATTAACAATGAATATTTTGATAACATTATAGTAGAAAACACCAACTTTATCACTCCCTAATCAAATTTGCAGCATAAAAATAACACATGTTGCAATTACAGCATATCAACCTATTTTCATTTCAATGCAAAATAAGTCTATAACGCATAGGTGGCTGTGAAAAATAAAAGCCATGACAATTGTTTTTATTAATCACAGCTGTCAGAATACGTTTAAAATAGTTTTTGGTAGTTAAGGTTTTCAAAATGGGTAGAGGAAAGGTTATTAGTGAGAAACTTCGGTTACTGATAATTAAATTTTTTAATTCTGGGAAATCAAACGCAGAAATTGCACCTTTGTTAGACTTATCGCGGTACAGTGTGAGAAATATTGTTAGAAGATATAACGTAACTGGTTCAGTTAATATTAAGCCACGATATGTGAAAGAAAGTAATATCACAAATGCCGACCGAAGAGCATTAAGAAGAATAATCGTGAAATTTACAATTAAGTGCTCTGTGGAGTGACGCTCTTGGAAGGAGATTTTCGAGGTCCACAACTCATAGAGAGGCCCACGAACTGGGATTTAGCACTTGCAAGGTAAGTTTTCTTATAAAAAAAGTGAAGTAAAAAGCCTAAAGTTGCACAACTTGTTTATAGGCCAAAGAAAAGCCACTATTAACTCCAGTGCAAAAGAAAAATCGGCTTAGATGGGCTAAAGAACATAGACAATGGACACCTCAACAATGGTGTGCAATACAATGGAGTGATGAGGCCGGATTCAATGTTTGAGTTGGTGACAGTCCCAGTAGAGTTATTCGCAAAAAAATGAAGCATTCCATGTTGACTGTCTGAAGAGAAAAAAATTTCCAGCATCCATTATGGTCTGGGGCAGTATGTTATCAAAAGGAGTAGGAAAACTTCATTTTATTGATGGAAATGTGGATACAAACAAATATTTGGCAATTTTAGAAGAATCGCTTTTACCAGTGATGAAAGAATGTTTGACATCCGGCCAAGATTTTGTGTTTCAGCAAGATGGTGCAGCGTGCCACACCTCAAAAAAGGCTATAAAATGGATGGAAGAAAATAATGTACCACTTTTGAAATGGGTTTCTAGCAGTCCAGATCTGTCACCTAGTGAAACTTTGTGGCACGAGATGAAAAAGGTTCTACGACAACATCCTGCTCGTACAATCACCGAACTTAGACACAAGCTTCAAGAAATTTTTGCCAAAACTTGGTTAACACTATGCCCCAAAGAATTTTAGCCGTAATAAAAAATAAATGTGATGTTACCCAATGGTAATCTTTCAATTGTTGCTTTGTTAGCTTCGCGCATTTATTCGCACATTGTTTATTTGTTCAGATGTTCTATTAGTTATAGGTCTAAGTGATTTCAAATATGTATTTTTTACGACTAGAGTGTATCTAAAATGTTTTTTAGAAAATAAATTGTTTTAGAAGTAAATAGTTTCGTCATGTTTAGTTTATAAAGGCATATTTTGGTACAAATCTTGAAGTGGGCCAACTGAAGTGGGAAGGGGCTCGTACATGCCATGTATCAACCAAAAACATCTCATTTTCGGGTTTTTCATAATTGCAATACTTCCCGCTAATTACGTAAAAAGTAAAAGGGTTTTACAAAAATTGCTTTGCGTTATTCGCATCTTTTGAAGAAGAACTTATTTTTGCTTCTTTACATTTTCAAACAGCTTTTCTATCCACTTGTATCCTATCAACTTAGCGAGAGTAAATTAACTATGAAAATATTATTTAAAACATAATTCGTAACTTTTTAAATCCTCGTCTATTATCAACCAATAATATATATATATATATATATATAAGAAAACAAAAGTTTAGTCAACATTTGTATGAGTAAGTTCCTATACACGTTGAAAAGTAGTTTACTAACGCTGCGTTATCAGTTATAGACTTTCCAATTACTCATATTTGAAATGTACTAAAAACACATTTATTGTTCGATCATCATAAATGCCTAAATGTTTTAGGTAGTCTTATTTTTTATAGCATTCGGTTATTAAGATATTATAATTACAGAGGCTTTGTAAAGGATTAAAATGGATACAGTTATGGACACTCGGAGGAATTTTTCTCAGGAAGTTCGATAATCGGCATGATACAACTTTTTGAGAAAGTGTACGTGCCCCAAAAACGTTATGAAGAGCAAAAGTGTGCCTGCTCCCTAAACTTTTTGAAAAGTGCTGGGAAGAAGATTTTCTCAGGGAGGGCCAAATCAAAAATTCTCAAAATTATACATAAAATCACGATGAATATTCAAATTTTAAGGTCCATCCGGATTCTCACGGGGGTCCACGGGGCCCCCTGGCACCTTACTGCGGGTTCCCAGGGATATACTGTTTTAAGGCACAATTAAGCACACAGCAAAACATGTGACAATACATATATGTGTAATGTACAAAATTCAAGATTTTCTATAAATTGTTCCCAAACGCAAGTAGTACCTTATTTGATCCTCTATAAGTTCAACGTTATTGGGTATAGACGTAAGACTAAATTGATACCTGGTCTCATCCAAGCATGCGTGTTTGTTTGAATCAATTATGTCTTCTACACTACACATTAACACCTATAGAACGAATTTTCACCATTTCACACATTTCCGTCGCACCCAGTTCCACAGTTATCTTATCGTGGTGATTAGTTGAATTGTATCTTTGTTATCGAGCAAACATTTGCGACAAAATATTTTTAACCTTGCAACGTTTAACTTTTCACGTTTACTTAATTGTTATGATGTTAGTTCAGGAATAATGTTACGTCGTTACCATAACAAGCTGTGCGAAAAATTTCAAGGACAATATAAAAATGGCGTCAAGTAAGTTGACTGTGTACTTCCCCCGCAACGCTATTATCAGTTCTTAAAGGAATATGTTAGGCACAAGTAAGCCGTTCCGAGAAAAAAGTTAACTACGAACATGTATAAAAGATTAAATTATTATCCCTCCTGCTGGGAGAAATTCTTGCGGGCGCACATGATGGTTGCTATGACTAATCCCGTGTGGATGACGACATTGACTTTTACAGCATACAGTTCACAACAGAGCGGAAGTTGACTGCCGGCTGTGACCGGGAGCGGTCCACGGAGCACGTATCGACACGCGACTGTTGGAGTTAATTCTAAGTTTTAAGGGTAAACGTGGCAGGGCAACTATGATGAGTGAAATATGTCGAATAGGTGCGTAGAATTACTGGCATAAATATACAGTCAAAAATTTGAGATATACTGTCCACCACCCACTACAAATCCTTATTTCCAATTGTTAACCATTACAAACATATTTCAGAAAACGATAAGGAGCCTCTGAAACGTCAAAAAACGAAATTTAAGTGATCTTTATTTTTTCGTTCTTGGCCTTTTTCTCCGCCGCCACTGGACCGATTTTCCAAAAACTACAAAACTTTCGTCATTGGCATAGTAGTAAACTTGTGTGGAAATTTCATTCAAATCCGAGGGTACTTTCTAAATTATAGATGGGCCAAGGATTAGAAGACAGACAGACAGACTGACAGACAAACCGACAGATACACTGACGGAAGTAAGTGACATGGTTTTTATGATGTACATGTCATATAACATCCAAAAAGCATAATATCTCATTTTCGAAATTTTTCGTCATCACAAAACTTCCTCACCAGTATGCGCGGGAAGTTAAATGTATATTCACGAAAACAGATGACTAACAGGATTTGTATATTGTTTTAGTCGTAAAAATCATGGTTGAATTGATTAAATATTTTGGAAACATACAAAAATTAGGTTTTTAGATTTTCAAAATTCTTTGGGTATACATATATACTAAGTGACATATAAATCCGAACACCCAGTTTAAATGGTTTTATTTTAATAAAATTTTGTATAAGTACTTAATGAAGCATAATAAGTAAATGATAAAAATTTCAAAATGATTGCACTGCTTTAAAGCCCTTTGACCTTTAATAATGTGTGGATGCACCCTGATGTGCTACGCAGTCTCCAACGCGCTTAGGCATGCTTCTGATCAGGCGGTCAATGTCCTCCTGTGGTATCTCATTCCAGGCAACCACCAACTTCTCTCGAAGTGCTTCTAGAGTCTGAGGAGGACGTTGCAAATTGAGCAATCTCCTACCCATCATATCCCACACGTGCTCAATTGGGGATAAGTTGGGAGATCTTGGTGGCCATGGTAACAATGTGACATCATTATGTTGAAAGAAGTCTATTGTGACTCTTGCAACATGTGGTCGGGCATTATCTTGTTGGAAAGTTGGATCTGCCAGGGTGTCAAGATAGGGTAAAAGATGGGGTTCTAGAACTTCGTGGATATAACGCTGCGCGTTCATGTTACCTCTGATGAAGATTTAAGGTGACCTGGAACCATAAGCTATAGCACCCCAAACCATAACTCCAACAGTGTGATGAACATGTCTTTCAACAAAAAACTGTGGATTCCTCCTTTCACCACGTCGCCTTCTAACCCTTACACCGACGTAATCGCCTTGAGTGGTGCAGACAACGGTCACTCTGGGATCAGGAATGGAACAGTATTGTCTTTAGTGACGAGTCTCGATTTTGTTTAGGCATGCACGATGGTCGTGTCCAGATCTGTCACCTATTGAAACTTTGTGGCACGAGATGAAAAAGGTTCTACGACAACATCCTGCTGGTACAATCACCGAAATGAGAGAAAAGCTTCAAGAAATATGGGATTGTTTTACACCAAATTTTTGCCAAAACTTGGTTAACACTATGCCTAAAAGAATTTCAGCCGTAATAAAAAATAAAGGTGATGTTACCCAATGTTAATCTTTTAAATGTTGCTTTGTTAACTTCGCGCATTTATTCGCACATTGTTTATTTGTTCAGATGTTCTATTAGTTTTGGTCTAAGTGATTTCAAATATGTATTCTTTTACGACTAGAGTGTATCTAAAATGTTTTTGAGAAAATAAATTCTTTTGGAGGTAAATAGTTTCGTCATGTTTAGTTTATAAAGGCATATTTTGGTACAAATCTGTGGGAAGAGGCTCGTATATCTGATTTTTTATTGTTTATTTTTCATATGATTTGCTTTAAAAACATTTATAGTTATAAATATTCGTATAAAATTGAATTAATATGGAAAAATATCAAGTTTCTCATAATAGTAAACGCAATTCTGTACCTTATTGACTTTAGCATTTTTAAAAAATATTAAATAACGGATTGATCCTGGTTTTATCGAATAAAATAATAAAAATTCGATAATACACAGTCCCCCCAACAAATTTAACTAGAAAAAACATATTTGATGTTAAAGAAAAGAATATTTTCCGCATAACCTCTGTATATTCTGACAAAGGCATATTATTCCACTGATTTGTTTGCTCACAATGCGCATGCATGTCTTGAGTATACATAGGTTTACCATTATTTGATATGTTAAGCAATATTATTCTGAGTAGCTTACCATGCTATACGTCTTTTTCTACTGGATATGCCACAACAAACAATTTCACAACAGCAAATTTTCAACGTGTACTTTTATTAACGAACACATGAAGTTCAAGGCAAGCTCGTCTGCTCCTCCCACAAGTACTAGTGAATAAACAAAACTAATCGTACTAATTTCCTAAAAATAGACTACGGCTGTACGTATCACAGATAAATGCGTAAAAACGTCAAGGGTAATGAGGATTTCACATTTTTTCTTGACGTTGGAACCGGGTACGGCGATTACGTAGCAGTACCAAGCACCGGCGGTCGATGGGTACTAAATAGAATTTCTCATTCTCGCAGATTTGTCTTTTTTTTTCTTCCTCTCTTTCCTCTTTGTGGCGCTTGGCGCTGTATGATTCTGCATCTCAGTAACCAAGTGAAGGGTAGAAAGATATAGGGCCTTGCACGTGTGAGACGGAGATAGATTCAGTCTTCAATCACAGGCAGCTGAGATGCAAGCTACGAGGCGTGCGAGACATGTTTGCTACGAGGTGTGCGAGATATGTTTGCTACGAGGTGTGCGGGATATGTCCGCACTGATGTTATCAGTGGCGGACAAAATTTGCAATTTTAATAGCTGAAATACTGTTACAGGGATGAAGCTCATTCGCTTGTGTGCTGGAAAAAAGCGTTTGAAATTCGTTTGCAAAAAATACTCATTTCAGTCCTTTGTATTTCGCACCGAAGAAATCACCTAATAGGATTGACTTTATTCTGGATACCGTTAGAACGTGACTATACATTTTAAGTAAAACTGTCGTCATAGAGACTAGATAGACAAAAATTACAAATCGTTTAGTCGTCCGTTGCGTTTTTGACAGCGATATCAAATAACCATGGTTGAAAAACTTTCCGTAACCATTGAAGTGAACCGTGGTAATTTGACAGTATCGATTACTGACAATCATGACCAGTTACATATTTTTTTTATTTTGACATGATGCTAACCATAAAATTTCACAATCTTGTAAATTTTCATGCAAAAGCTTAGGTGATATTGTTATGACAAGTGACTAGGAGCTTATCGGAACTTCTAGAATAAAATACTACCTTGCCATATTGCATATATAACAAAAGTCAGGACAATTTAATTTGCTTATCGGAACTTCTAGAATAAAATACTACCTTGCCATATTGCATATATAACAAAAGTCAGGACAATTTAATTTGCATAGAACGCTATTTCTTCCATATCTGTAAGCTAAACTATGTAAATTCATAATTTTATTTTAACCGTAACAAAATAGACTTTTTCGGCAGCAATATTAGGCACATCGGAAAGCACATGAAAAATGTGTCTATTTAACTTTGGTTTATTATGTTTTAAACATAACTAGATTGGTTATCACATGAATCTTTGGTTTAAGAATTTATATAAAATTATTGTAATCTGCCACATAAACGCAATGTTTCCTTGTTTATAATGGGCAACCGTAAATAAATAAGTAAATAAAAAAGTAAATATATAAATAAATGAATCTTTATTTATATTTCGGCAACGGAGAACGAAAAATCATCTCGATATTACGGAGATTATAACTGTTAAAAATCATTAAAATGCGTGAATTAATAAATTTATCAGGAATTTCATTAATTAGGAGGATCCGACGGATCCGGCCATGCGAACCGCCTGGATGCTGGTTGCAAAGTCCATTCGAAGCTGTATTTCCCCGTCGACGCACCGAGATGGTTTCGACCCTATTTCTGCCTGCTTTTCCTTTGATAAACAAAACGCACACCCGATGTAAGTAATTTCAAAGCAATAAAACCATAAATGCATTGTCGCTCTTGAAGAGATCGATAACACTCGGCCATCCGATTATGTGGAGCGTTGCATACTGCTCCTCCAGCTCCGCTGAAAAATCCGCATCATGTGAATTAGACCTATTCTGCTTTTTTTTAATCCTAAAAATAATATAGATTGATATAAGATCTATAATACTATGAAATAAGAAAATGAAGAAGCATAACTTCAAACTGATAACCCCCATAATACTATTTTTGAAAGCAAACAATCGATACTCCATCGACTCCTTATATACAGGCTGTTAGAAATGCAAGCATTCTTTGGATATATATATATATATATATATATATATACAGGGAGACTTTGAAGTTGAGTCATTAATTTTCAGATAATGATTGTAGAACGAAGATAAACCAAAATATGCGTGTAAAAATAAAAAAAAATAAAAAAAAATGTTACCTTGTTTTATAAAGTATCCTCCCGACAAGTATTTCAGTGCGGACCTGTATTTGATCGTGCGGTCTTGGAGCACCGGCATGCTCTCCCCTGTGAGGTCTTAAGTCACCTGATTCACGAGCCCTTTGTACTACATTAACAAAGGCACGAGGGGTTGGTTGCACTCGATTGGGAAACCGATCCGCATAAATCCGTGATGCCGCGGCAGCATTTTGTAAAGACTCACCCCCCACGCAACAAACACCACTATTCACTCACGCGTTACCGACTGACACATTGACTAAATACAACTGAATGAGATTGTAGTAAAAACATCGTTTCAAATTCTTTCGCTTTTTTGTTTCCGATGCGATGAACCGATAAGGCGGATTATATCCGTTGTTGCCAAACACGAGAACATAATATTATTATTGAGACAGGGCGGTACTCAAACTTATAAAGGGCTATAACTTTGTTACTTTAATTTTACCAGAAAAATGTTAAAGGATAAAAACATTTCTTTTGATCAGATCTACTCACTGTTAAAATAAATGACTCAACTTCGAAGTCACCCTGTATAATTGGTATACTTAGTATATAGTCCTTCAGTATATAACTTGTAGTAAGCATTAATATTGTTTCTGTTTTGATGATTATTTATTCTCCATAGCTGCGGATATATTTTACAGTATTTACTACAAATAAGCTTTCTTGGAGTAACCCTACGTAATGCTTTTCCGGACGCCTATGACTATGGATTAGTAGTTCCTTGAATGACAACAGTACCGTTAAGAACTGTTTGCTCAGTGATATCCAACCAGACAGTGAGTGCTGTGTATTTCTGGTTGCCTATACAACACTGTATTGTTCATGTCGCGGAGTCGGACAGTGCCGAACTTAGCAGAAAGGTACATCAACGGAATTTGGCAATGTCTTGCTGCAAATATTTGACTTATGTTGATAAATAGCATTACTTGAATAGGTTTTATGTCTTTGGGTTTTCTTTTTACACTACATTCTGTAACATACTGCGTTCGTAATTCAGTAAACAGATATAGTATTCTGTATGATCTGCTGACTACTATTTTTGGTTGATTCTTAGCTGGAAAACATACTTCTCACACTTGCTACCTCCTCGGTTCTTAGCTGATCATGACACTGTCAAAAAATTAGGTGAACATTTTCACCAAGCATTTTTTGTGCTCGTCAAAAGATGTATCGTACACACATTGACGATGAATGGTCGTCAGTAAAAAAAATTGTTCAGTGAAGAGTCACATGGCTGCTGGAGCTATAGTAAGTAATAGTGTTACTGAAGTAGGATAATATTTTAGAAGATTGATGTGACAAAATTTAGCTTTTATGAATTACTACTTTTTTTTGCAATGAATGCATTCAGATGACTTTCGGACCTAGGGTTGCCATGTTTGGCTTTTTCGGTCCTGTCCGGTAGAATTCTCGAGTGACCGGTATGTCCGGCTCTTTGTAGGCTTTTTATTGAAGAGGAAAATGTTTTTTTGGTTTTGTTTAATATATCAGGAGAGCTACAACTTATTCGTGTTCTCTGTGTTATATCTATACGTAAAGTCTATAGAGGACTGAACAGATTTAGTTAATTATCACTATTATCGTAAATACCAGATGATTGGGATAATACTGCTTAGTGATTGCTTTTAGTAATGTAAACTATTCAATATTGTAATAAAAATGTGATTAATGAACTATAATACTGGACGTTTGGCTTATTTTCGGCAAAAAACAGATGATTTCCAGCTTTGAGAGTCAAATGTCCTCGGTTTTTGTTTTTTAAGAGACAAAAATCGTAAGAGTTGCAGATTAGCACGATACGATTCTTTTCCATACCTTTACAAAAAATCCAACCTTCAGTAATTAACTGTTAGAAACCATATGATTACAGAAAATGTTCACCACGACTGGATTTACAGACGTCCACGCGATGGTCGAAATTTTCAATGACATTTTGCAACATGGTCGGTTCTATGGCATTTATCTCGGCAATGATGTTGTTTTTGGGTTCTTGGAGGGTGGCTGGTTTGTTGACGTAGACTTTGCTTTTCAAATATCCCCATAAAAAGAAGTCCAAGGGAGTCAAATCGCACGATCTTGGTGGCCATGGCACATTTCCTCTGCGCGAAATCACGCGATCACCGAAGAAGGACTGCAATCGATGGATATTGACGTTGGTTGTGTGGCATGTTGCACCGTCTTGTTGGAAATAAACATCGTCCATATCCATTCCTTCAAGTTGCGGCAAAAAATAGTCCTCTATCATCACGTGATATCGCTCAGAATTGACGCTAACGGCGTCCCCGGCCGCATTTTCGAAAAAGTAAGGTCTGATGATGCCTTTTGACCACAATGCACACCACACAGTCACTTTTTGAGGAAGCATCGGCTGCTCTTGATACTCACGGGGATTTTCGTTCGCCCAGATGCGGCAGTTTTGCTTGTTTACTGTCCCATTCAAAGTGAAATGCGCTTCGTCGCTGAACATGATTTTTGATGAAAAATTGGCATCAATTTGGCGGTGTTCAAGGAGCCAATTTGAGAACGTTCGGCGCGAAAAATGGTCGGCCCGACGCAGCTCTTGCGTCAATTGGATCTTGTAGGCGTGTACATTCAAATCCTTGTGGAGAATGCGGAGCAAACTGGTTCTCGAAATGCCCAATTCTTGGGATCGACGCGTTGTTGATTGTTTCAGATCGTCTCTCACACTCTCCTTCACAACAGCAATATTTTCCGGTGTGCGAACGCTCCTTGGCCGGCCAGAGCCTGGCAGATTTGCCACAGAACCTGTTGCCTCGAATTTACGCACCAGACGACCGATGGTTGTTTCGTTTGGGCGGTTGTTGCGACCGAAATGTTCACGAAGCGCACGAAACGTGTTTTTTATTTTTGCACCATTTTTGTAGTGCTCTTGAATAACTTTAATGCGGTCTTCAATCGAATACGACTCCATAGCGGTCAATGGTAAACATTCAACTAACAAAATGACATGTCGGTGACAGAAAACAAAGATGGCGTCTATGTCAAATTGATGTTTACTTTCCTGCGTCCCTATTGGACAACCCTTCACTTTCATGCCGCTCGAAAACATTTCTAGCATTTTGTTTTAAGGGCACATACACGAAAAAATCTTTTCAACTTAGGACTGAGTGAACTGAAAAATTTGAGGGAGATTGGATAGTTCTGGGCGTTTCTTGTTTAATCAGTTCCTGGACATTTATTTCTATTAAATGTTTATGTTTTTCATATAGGACTGTATCAGAAACTATTTGAGTCTAGTTAAATAATATTCTTCAGGAGGTGCAAGACAATGAGTCATCTCATAGTAGCTTGATAAGCGATACATTGATAGAACAGCTCCAAGGAACTCGTAATATCAATCATAATCAACTACTTGATACAGTGCAGGCTATAAAATCAGATCACATTTTATGTAAGTATTCTGATATAACAAAAATACAAATCCAAAGAAAATATTAACTATATTACGCTTTCACTCCCAAAGCTTCACAGAAAGAAGATCGGAATAATTCACATAAAAAATCTGTCGAATTTGAGAGTCGTCGCCAAATAGAAGAGCGTTCTAGTGATAAAAAGGAAGCGTCACAAGATAAAAACGTAGGAGACAAGAAACAACTAGGTGCTGAGATATCCGAGAAACCGGATAAAGTAAAACCTTATTCCAGCATATTGAAACCTGAAGGGTCGAGGATAAGCGAAGAACAAAATCAGAAACAAGTGGATATAGTGACATCTCAAGCGGCGAACAAAGTTCAAGGACCTTCTAATATATGGACAAACGAACAAAATCAAAAACAAGTGGTTATAGAGATATCTCAAGCGGCGAACAAAGTTCAAGGATCTTCTAATATATGGACAACCGCACAAAACCAAAAACAAGTGGATACTGTAAAATCTCAGGATCCAGATATACCACAACAAAATTCCACCATATTGAAGGCAAATCGGGATATCAGTGAAAACCTCGTCGAACAATCTGAAAAATTGCGAAACGTAATAGATTATAGTGATTCGAAACAACTGGTTGATTCAAGTGAAGTTGGTATCACAGAACTTCCTCAAACTATGGATAGATCTCAAAGTTCTTACTCACGTTTCGATCAAGATGACGAGTTGCCTACAAAAGAAGATACCAGAACGTCTAACTACCGGCGACAGAGTTTGGATGCCTTTCAAACAGGGCATTCTTCTGGCGGTTTTGACCAGTTCAGAGATGAAATTGACCAAAATTCGTCAAGGAGATCATCCAAGAATGGACAAGCAAGAAGCTCAGTGGAAAATGTAATTGATGCAGAAGGACATTATAGTGGTGATCACAGACATGGGAAACCAGAATACCAAACACAATATGATGAAGAATGTCATGGCAGATGTAGACATCAGACGATACAGACTTGCCCAGGATCGATTCTGAAAAATATACCTCATTCATCTGAGAGAAGTTTCGATTATAATCAGAGTTACAAAGGACGTCGAGAGAGGCAATGTAAGTATAAATTAGTTTTTTAAACTAGAATTGGTTTGCTCAGGTTGTAACAGAACTAATCTATGCAGTCGAAGTGGATAAGATCCTTACCTGGGTAGCTTAGTTGGATACTCTGTCGTGAATTTGGAATTGAAATTTGTAAGATCACTTTTTTGCAAGTAATCAGCATTCACATAGCTACATTTTAGGTCCCTTTTCGGAACAAACCACCACAGCACCAACGTCTGGGTATTCCATCTATAATGTACCTAGTGATTGTCAGAAGGTTACCTTGACCAGCAACAAGAAACTTCAAACTTCCGAGGAAAATCTATCTAAAAACAATATACGATATTACTGTACGAATAGTGCCCGACCGAAGAGCAGTCAAACCGTTGATTTACAAGATAGCAGAGGGGATACTAATATCAGGTTTAATTGTAGTACATTATTTGTTTTCTACATCTACTGTTCCAGAAAAACCTATAAGATGTCAACTTGCAGACTAGGTAGTTTTTACGGCGCAAACAGTCATTCCGCGTTTGCTCACTAGGATCGTTGTGAACGTCCATCTATAGAGGAATCACTCAACTGAACTACACGCATTATTGGTTGCATAGCTTTGTCAGGCTGAGTGATCCGTGCCTGTAGTTTTTATCTCTGAGAAGAAAGTTGGTTGAATAGCAAGATCGCATCAGGATGATTATGTGTATTGGTCTGCATGTGTATAAAATCAGTGATATTTGCTGTGTGAGAAAATCATTACTGAATATGCTGAATATGACGGGTTATTTATATGTTGTGCTTTCTGAAGGGAGGTTATGCTCAAAGTTATATATGACGAAAAACAGGAGGATTACGGGAAATCATCACCGCGCTCGCGTTGTGTGTAATTACTGTTAACATGTTGTACATGGCTTGTACTTCGACAGTGTATAGTGATAAGAAAAAGTGGATGCGCTACTAATTTCTAGCTTTGAATCTCAATTAAGTGTATTTGAGACAAGAACCCAATGTAATTATCAACAACACATACAACTTACAGCTTAGACCTCCAGTAATGCCATCCCAGAAGCAGATTTTACATCATATCAGAGCCAAAGATTGATATCAAGCCTCATGCCGTTTAGGCAACACGTACAACTAAGTGCTAAGTTAACATCTTGTAGAAAAACCAACATAAAGTAAAAAAAAAAACAGCATAATGTAAAAAAAATCACTTTTCAAGATACTCCCTCAGACTTTGGTTCTCGAACCAACCTCCTATTTACTTTTCACGCATAACATCTCTTCGTCTCTCTCTTTGCTCATGATACTGCATTAATGGCCCAGTCGATTTCCACAGGATTATTACGTAAAAAACCTATACACCTTGGGAAAAACCATTATTATACATTATGATGAGGAAGAGAGATGGAAATATACAAAAGTATGTAGGTGCGTGAAAGACACTCGATTGTAGGATCCTATCTGGCAGCGTCGGAGTGTGACGGACAACGGGGTAAACTGGAAGAGTGATAAAAGAGAGAGATGGCAGAACGGGCGCTGGCGCCTACCGCTTAGACGGATGCGCTCAACAAATGCGATTTGTTTCTCCCATTCGCAGAGTTGCCGATACCAATATGTCATATTTCTAAGAAATCTAAGTCTACCCAAATTTCGGGAAAAATAGCTGCGGATTCCACATAAGAGTACTCCAAAAATGAAAAAAGTTCAAACTATTAAAATTGTATTAATGTTTCATGGTTCAAATCATATTTTTCATGTTTGTATATAGTTGTATAAATGATTTTGTAATCCGTATTCTTGTTGCCAGTAGAGATACAACAGTATTGAGAGAAATCATGGACCGCTAGATAGGGCTACAACTACCATATGACTATCAAATAGTAGTGATAAACAGGGTTTGTTTATAGCACAGTTGCCTGGTGTGGCGAATTTGCGCCATCGGGGCGATTTGACAACTTTGAAGGACAACTATAACGGTTACTATGGTGCCCGGTATTCGGGAATCTGGCAATACCTGATGATTCCTAACGTTTATTACGCCAGATTGTTTGCTGACTTGCGCAGTACAACATGACAATCAACGTGACTGAGCACCTGGTAACCCTGGTTTAAGGTGTTATATTTAAAGAGCTTGGGGCAGTTAGGTATCAAGGTCACATTTTTTAATGTATTTCGAGAAATCCGTAATGTTGAGTAAATACTAGATCACGTTTCTTGCTTAGTTTGCTGAAAATTCTACAACAGACGTACATTTTGAGAAACAGAGATTTGGTGACGACAAAATCGTAAAAATATAACGCATTTTCGTAAAATAATTTCTTTGTTGAAAAGACTGTGGCTTGATGACCCATTGAACGAGTATAGTGTCCCGCTCCGCTTTGAATATTCGAAACACTATACTCCAGCAGCATTCAGCTTCAATGTTATCTTTATGAAGTTCTAACGTCTAGGCCATGCTGATTAAAAGCTTGAATGAATCAACAATTAACTCTAAATTCCCCACAATTCGGGAAGCTCTACTCAAATTGGCAACACAGCGTAACATGCCTATTATTCTCATTCGTGATACAGGTCTGCGGTTAACGGTAGGAAATATGTATACTTTATCTGAAGTCACTTGAAATAGCATAAAAACCTTTGGTCGGCGCGTCCTTTGTAATTTCATGACGTATCATAGGCGTGCGGTCATTTATTTAGAACGATAATAATAATGTTTTTATATCACAATAAATGGATTTTACTATCTTCTTATTTTTTTGATTTGGGATAAAAAATACTTATATTGGGAGTTTAATTTATGTTGAGTGAAAGTTAAGAAATGGAAAAATTACAGAATTCCAACGTTTGACATAGGCAAATATTTACATAGCAGGTAGGTATATAAAAAGGTATATAAAGACTTTATAGGTATTTATATATCATCCTCGCCTTCGGAGCTGTCGCTAGAGTCATCTTGTAGAGGAATTACAACGGGATTTAAGGAGGCAAAACACAATATTCATTTTCTTTTTCAATAATATGCCTAGAACACTGCTTCCATAGGTCTGTGGCAGCAATATGAGATACTGCATCTCTTATTGTGGCCAATAGCGATTCACTTAATTGAGGGGTCTGATTATGTTTTCTTACTTTTTTTTTTAAAGCAGCCCAGACCAACTCAATCGGGTTAAAAATGCAGTAATAGGGAGGTAGACGTAATACTTCATGGCCATTTTGCTGAAGCAGATTGTCAACAACATACTATTTTTCAAATTTTTGTCTTTTAATAAGATCCAATAATATGGCTTTGGTTGATTTTTGTGGTATTTCCATTCCCTTATCCTTCATAAAATCAATAATGTCTTGTTTTTTTGTGCCTGTATTCGGAATTTTGTTTTTCTGTCGGGAATGGTATGGCGCATTGTCCATAATAATCACTGAATTTGGGGAAATGTTTGGTATTAACTCCTGCTCTATCCACTTTTCAAATAAGTTGGAGGTCATGTCCTCATGATAGTCGGCACATGATTCTTTGATATTTTTGGCAGATAACAGCAAGGCATTAGGTATAAATCCATTTTCACTGCCAGCATGGAGAATAATGATTCGTTTTCCACGGTTGCATGGTGCATTTAAAATGCACTTGTTGCTGTCGTCAACCCAGCCGTACTGTACAACATCATGGGTATCATACCACGTTTCATCCAGGTAAATCAGATTTCTTTTCTGCTCTCTATAGATTTTAACTTTGTGCAAAAATTCTTGGCGCAATTCAACGATTCGAGACGACTCCATAATCACCATTCTTTTATCTAATTTTTTGTATTGAAAACCACACAGTTTTACAATACAGTGCAGTGAGTCTAAGCATTTGTAATTATAAAAATCTTCAGGATAATCTTTTAATTTATTCCGTATCATTTCCAACGTGGGCACCAAATTTTCTTTATAAAATCCGTATATTATACGACGAATATCTTCCTGAAAACCCACGTCTATTCTTTTTAATTTTTGCCCTATGCGCTTTCTGTGGAAGGAATGGTTGACTACATCTCCCCTTTTTATAACCCGATAAATGGTAGACCGACTGTTTTTTGTCAGGATACAAATTCTGTTTAAAATTTGATTTTGCGAGGAATCTGGATTTTCGTTTTTCAGACAATCATACATATTTAGGATTACTCTTTGGGTCTGTTCCTCTAAATCTTTATGAAAGAATTCTGCCTGCACATCAACCATCTCCTCGTGGCTTGGAGCATTTTCCCAAGGTCTCCAAAGAGCCATATTTAGGACACACAAGAACAATCAACACAACAATTAAATCAACAAGTAAACTGAGTATTCAAAAGTCAAAAACACACAAACTAATAAAATCTATGAAAAAACACGGACAGACTAAAGAAAACACGTTTATTCACCGCTACACGGCACTGGCTAAACTGTTTCAATTTTCAGTAGTCACCTGCACTTGTTCGGAGCTCTGAAATACACGCTTTCTCATTGGCTATGTCCACGCATAGGCGTGCTTTACTCCACGTGGACCGGTGAAACTGCCTTTGATCTTATACGGGGGATATTTGCTGCGAAATTTGGCGATTTTTGCAGCAACAGAGCGTGTTAAATATAGATATATAAAACGCACCCGGTATTTCACAGTGTTTCATGTGACTTCAGATAAACTATACGAATAGCGATGAAAGTAGACGAGCCGATGCGCTGTTGCCAAGAAATGATTTCCCATGTATAACAATGGTTTTTCCTAAGGTGTATATGATGTAAAAAATCGACAAAATGTTCACTTTCTGAGAAAATAGTTGCTAGCGTACAAATAGTTCGTTTCGCGATTGCTCGTTGTGAGTGCTGTGAGCGTCATCCTAGCGTCATCTATGGAGGGATGACTCAACGACATGCCAGCGTGATTTGTTGGTTGCAGAATGCTGATCTGGATGATTGTGTGTATTGGCCTCTATGTATATAAAATCAGTGATTTTTATGTCAGAAAATATGCTGTACATGAAGTATATCTGTTGGCTATACCAGACGGGTTATTTGTGTTGTCCTTTCTGAAGAGAGGTTATGTTGAAAGTTATAAATTACAATTTTCCACGGTTTCTTTGCGTTTTCAAAAAGTTTGAGAAGCATTACGGGAACTCACCACCGAGCCTGCGTTGTGTGTAATCAAGTCACATCACAGAAAAATAGGAATGACGCATCACACATAAAATGTTTTCGCAATGCCTCACATATAGCCGCTGATTTGTATTTCCTACTTGACATCGCAAAATAAATTTCTATGAAATTTGACTGACTGGAAATAAAAGATAATGCAAAAAAGTAATAACCTTTTCGCATCTATCTGTAGCCTATTTTATTACGTAAAAACCTATATAGAGAAAAAAATAAACGACAAAATGTCAACTTGCTGACTAGACAGTTCTTAGTGTGCAACTAGTTCATTATCTCAAGTAAGTGTATCTGAGACAAGAAACCAATGGAATTATCATCAACACGAATTATGAGCACACAAATCGTCACTATACACCTATGCACTGCCGTTACCTTCCAGCTATAGTATACAACTTACAGCTGAGATCTCCAATAATACCATCTCTGAAGCAGATGTTACATTACATCAGAACTGAAGCGTCATGACGTTTAGGCAACACGTACAGCTACAGAACGAATGCATATCAAGTGAACAACAGCTAGTTCTAAGTTGACATCTCGTAGAAAAACCTACATGATGTCACAAAAAACTATATGATGTCAAAGAAAAAAACCGACATAATGCCACTTTTTAAGATACGTATTACCCCTGCTGAACTACATCAAACAACAGGCGGAGCTACGTTGTAGTGGTATAACATTTCCAAATACTAGTTACTAATACCAGAACAGTCCTCCAACCAAAAGAATTCCTCTCTACTCACCCTCTTTCTTATTTTCTTTCTTCTTTCCTTCTTTCTCCTTGATGTTGTCTGGTAAACCAGACGTGACAGATCTACTGACCTACAATACTTTAACCAGGAGCAATGGTTCTACGGACCGCTTCTTCAGACAATGACAAATAGAAAACATTTTTTTTTAATTTTTACTAGACTCACAGCTAAAGTCCAATACCGAAGTGAAAGAGAGTAGCGAAAGCATCGTACGCCTTTGTTAATGTGGGATGTCTTTGGGAGAACGGTCCACACGTTAACAAACACTCGCCGCATTAACAGTGGCGTCCTGCATATGTGGTCGATTAAAGCTTCACAAAAAGTCAATGTCGGTGGAGCCGAAGTGAAGTTTTGGACATGCCTTCCATGTAATCGATTTATACCTGTCGAACATTAACAAAGGAATCAATTTCCATTATAGAGAATCTCCAGAGCCAGCATATCCAAAATGTAGATGTTGTCCTGTAAATAGAGAAACAGAAAAATCTGAGTATCAATATTCTAAGGTTGCTCTTTCAGAATATAACCAGCCTCAATCAGGATGTTCTTGTCCGGAAGACAGGTCAGAACCATATTTCGATAAAGTTGATAGGTAACTACTTTACACACAGATCTGCGATTAGCTTAGAGCTATATGAATCTTCTGGATGTGTTTTTCAGCGATTACCAAGATGCACCAGCAGAATGTAGATGTTGCTCAACAATTCGTTCCAAACCAATGCAGAAATGTAAATATCAACAACCAAAGGTTCCAGGTAGTACAGAAGCGGAGGGACGTAGATATTGTGTTCCAGATAGCTATTCAAATGAACCAGAAAGGTATGTTTCTTAACCACCATACATTTTGAAGTAGGATAGGGGTCGATTTGGGCTGTTTTCGCCCCAAATTCTTTTTCTTCAGTCTCCTCCCTTGACAATCAAGACGACATCCACTAGTAACACGTTCTTAGTGACATTTATTGCTTACAAATTATATTTGCTCAATAGAATTTCATACTTTATCTGAATTGGATTAGTATATGGAAAATGTACCAGATTATGCCATATCACATCACGGACATTGGAAAGTCAATTGAATGGAAAAATGACCTTCATCTTGGAGTAGTACAAATTATTGGATGAATGGAAATTATATATACGGATACATAGCAAACCCTATTTTTCATGGCTGAAATTGACATGTACATACTGTATCTGTAACCACGACCAAATGCAGACACCGTTTCGTGCTCATTAGCAACTCATTAGTGCGGTATAGGTCTTCGGTCTAGTCTTGGAGACAGACGAATGAGAAGCGATAAACATTATGCGATTTTCTTCTGCCCTATCTGAAATGAGCAGCCAAGTTGCATTCGCTTGGAACAACGGGAGACCAAAGTGGAAATTATGACCAACCTACGATGAGTTTTATAATATTTTCGAGTCCGTAGATGTCGCACCCGATGCTAATTTAGAGCTAGGACTGCCAAACCTGGCCCTACAACACTGGACAGACGATATTATTCGAAATTACGCATAGCTTACTAAGTTTTATTTGCTTGTAGACAAGGTAGATGACCTACAAGGCAAATTATTTAAACTTCCTAGGTATTTTCAAAAATCGCTGTGTGTATGTAATTTATGAAGATTCGTGTTGTGGGTAAATCGGGTACATAAATTCCGTATTCGTATGTTCATTTAGCTTTAGCAATGAATTTGTTAGGTTAGAAAGAGCCAAACTACATGCTCATATGGCAGTGTTTGATGAAGCAGTTTTAGTGGATACGTTGGATATTTACCTACCAAAGGGACAAACTAATACATGGGCGTTCATGATTTTCGCTGGAAAAGAGTCAAGTCTGACAGAAATACTATCTGAGTTGCACAATAAGTCCAAGAAACAACATTAAATATTAATTAACGGCTGAAACCTATGAACGTTTTTGCTTAGCTCACAACTGTCCAGGTGAAAGCCTGATGTTGGGGTGCATGCTATTTAGCAACGCCGATGAGACAATATATTGTGACGTCCTATAGTTGGGACCTTGGGTGGCAGTGTGGCGCTTCCGCGGTATCAACGCTTAGGCAACCAGTTATACTACCGTGCGCTATCTAGTAGGGATGGCCGAAATTCAAGAATCATCGAGACCCACCTGAAAGCACCTACCGCCATTTACCAGCTTCGAGGAGGAATCCAGTTTTTGCTGGAAAATGCTGGAGTGCATCGGGAACCGCCGACTGACCACATCAATATCCGACCAGATGGCAGATGGAGCCAGTCACAGTCGAGACAGTAAACGACCAGTGACATAGTCCAGTCGATATGGTTATGCATATGCATAAATTAGTAAAGTGTTATAAATTAGTGTGGAGTAAAAAGAATGGCGTTTTAGTTACAATATATTAACACTTAGCGCCGTATCGTCAGTTGTTCCTACAATTATTGTAGGACGCCTTTAATTTCAGGCTGATATAACAGATGATACCCATCAAAAGTATGGACAACTTAATGCAAACAGATATTTGTAACATAACCTCAAAATAGAGCGCTGACAAAAAATCAATTTTAAAAAATATTACATGACATCTTTCCTCACTTGTGTCTTCAGTAGTAGGAACGAATGACGATACGGCCCTAATAAATAAGAAACTGCTTTTATGCAGCTTAAACTGCATTTTCGGCAGTTGTCTGGACCACCCACTTTTATATGTTTCTCTCAGATAAAATACCAGTTTAATGCGAAATGTCAACAACTATCAAACTGGTCACACTTAATCCTCATCAACTCGTAATAAGCACTTGCATCATGACTTGATTACGTAATTTTTTTTCAAAAGAGATTGCATGCTAGCTCCTTCTACCTAGACTGACTTCGTTGGGCCCTAGGAGCCAAGGTGGTCCCAAACGAACCAATATTGCTAAGTTTCAGTTTAAGAAAAATTATGTTATTCTTTCAGACCCGAATGTTGTTCGTCATGTCCTGGATACACTTCCAAACGGAGGACAAGTAGAAGCATAACGTGCAATCCATCCTTGACACCAAGAAGTATCCAGTGCTCCCCAAGGTACCATCCATCAGAGGTTGGAGACATTGATCAGAATGTGATACCACTATTACCTCCTTCACCGAGAAGGCAGAATAGAAGATGTAATCGCCAACCTGTTCCATGTAGAAGGATGCCTCCAGTAGAACCACCTCCTTGGTGTAGTCCAGACTGTCGGTAAGGTACCTACTGATGGGTAGAAAAATGATATTCTTTTCGCGACTTAATGTCACTTTTCGTGATACGTAATACCATTGCCGTACTGGTTCTCGTTTACGTTCTAGTTTCCACTCCCGGGGAATTGTGAGGCGGCCTTTATGGATGTTGTGCGGTACGATAAAAAATAAAAACAATGTGGGACGATGTCGTCCTAGTTAAAAGAAGATTTTTTTGCAGAAAACCCAAGTCAAAACCAAAACGAAAATGTATATGCAGCTGTTGCTGTCGTGGAGAACTCGCACCTCCACCACCGCCTCTGCCTGAATTCTTCTATTGTCTCGAAGAAGAAGGTGAAGATATCTACGGAGAGTCTTCAGATATTAGCGATGACGACTGTTTCTGCGATGACCTTAGCAGTCCGGTGGGTCTCAGTTATCAGGACAATGAGGAATATCAGGAGCTGCTAATGGGTGAGCTGTCAGTCAAAATTCTTCTATTGTACTTGTTAATGTCTGTCAGAATAGTTCGTAATCCTAAAAGTTCACAAAATTGTACAAAAAATCCTGTCAAATAAGATGGGTGGACTATGGAAGACCATGCTTTTGCTATGGCAAATTTTTACTACTTACATTTACACCCAACAAACTTGAGAAGACAGACCCGTACGGGTATCTTGAAAAGTGACAATAGTTTCGTTCGCGGTTCCGATTCGGGATTGATTCTGAACCATTTCGCATGCGCACTTCAAAAATCGGCGTTCGCGGTAAGAAAATTCTGAATTTTTAGTTACAGTTCTGCGTTCGCGGATCATATCGAATTGGTACAGAACTGATTCCGAAATGGTCCTGACGGTTCTCAGATTTTTGGTGAGACTAAAACTTCGATCCGGCTGATCATGCGCATTAGAACCGTTATGGACATTTGATATTTTATCTTCCGCTGCCTCTGTTCGGGTTTAAAGTGTTTAACCTATTCTGTGAAAATCTGTCACCTGTGCTTTTTAGTGCTTGCTGTTCCATAAATATGTTTTGTGTGTTCCATTTCAAGTTCTTAAGATTCAGTGCTTAAGATTTTGTGCTTAAGATGTCGGACCATTTATCGTTTAGTGATGATGATTTGGAAGAACTATTGGAAGTTATTGAAGTACCGACAACACCTGGAAGCTGTCAATAGTGTCAATCGAATAGCAGCTTGGCAACAGCACAAAATAGAGGGCAAATTGGCAACAGTGTTGAATAAGCAAACAGTTCCAAAGTCGTTCGCGATAAACGAAAATCTCGAACTAGAAAATAACTGGACATGCGCATTTGTGTAATTCTGGATGGTTCAGTTTTAGTTCCGAACTGCTTCATTTTTTGACCCGCGAACGCAATTATTATGTCGATTTTTTTGACATTATATTGGTTTTTAGTGACATTATGTAGGTTTTTCTACAAGAAGTTAACTTAACACTAGCTGATGGACACGTTGTGAACTCGTTTTGTAGTTGCACGTGTTGCCTAAACGTCATGAGGCTTCAGTTATCAATGTTTGGCTCTGATGTGATGTAAAATCTGCTTCAAAGATGGCATTACTGGAGGTAACGGCAATGCATAGGTTCATTGTGTCTCAAATACACTTACTTGAGATTCAAAGCTAGAAATTAGTTGCGCACCCACTTTTTCTTACCATTCTGGAAATTACATAATGCAAATTTGCTGAATTTCAAACATGTTAGAGATAAGAAATAATTATACGATATAAACAAACGTATTCAGCTCTGATGGAAAGAAACATCGAGGATGATGGCGGCGATGTTCTGAGTATACTCGCTCATTATCAATACGACCTTTAAGATGCTCATATCAAATCGATAACCACGTTATTGCTCTAGGAACGCTCTTGTTTCGGTTCTTCAAATTAGGTTTGATTATAAACTAGATTAACCTAGACAACACGCAAAGCCTCATTTGAACGTAGGAGGGGATTGTGGGAGTGAGGGGGCAGGGTCGTACTGGCTCGTTTATTGCTTTTTGAAAACCTAATATCTCGGTTAAAGATTTGGTATATAAATAAAAAAATACGGTTATTATTGCGTGCCCCATACGCCTTGTAAAGAAAAGTTCCTACTTTGAGGGCATCCTGTATAAGGACTTGCTAACTTGAAGGTTTTTAAATTGTACCTACCATTCATCAAATATTTACTGAATTGTAGAAATGGCGGACTTACAAAACGGACCCATAAGAAGGCCATTTTGGTCCGTTTTCTTCATTAGACAGTTCTACGTAATGTTAATTACCTAAGGAATCCGTACTGGTGAATGAATGTGACTAAAAATATTAGACCTAACGTTAAATTATATATGTAGTTTATTCGTCAGTGCAAATAAGGGACATACGAAAATATGTCTAACCGCTGCTTCTGTTAAAATAACATTGCATAATCTCTGTTTCTATTCAGTTGATGCTATGACGTCACTCGGTTAGACGATAAGATGGTTTGTATGTTCTCAAATGTACATTGTATAAGCATAATGTGGCCAATAAATGGTATGCTATTATCACAGTATATGCTTGACTTCTATTTTTACTACTTTTGTATTTTATGAATTACTTAACTTCGCTACTTTTTAATCCCTCAGGAATATTTTGCTTTTGAAATTTACATATAAATTCTTCTTCATCATTCAGTTCAGCTACACAAACATTAATTATTTTTCCAGTTCAACTGCATTGCCAATTTTTATTTCAGAATCTCCTACTGATATTAGTTTCGCTTCCTTGTTCAATTTTGCTAATGATTTTTCGTCTTTTACATAAATTACTAAACATCCTGTTGTCCTTGTGTTAATTTATTCACAAATATTCATAATTCTGCAGGATTTATTTTTTGCATATCTTGTTTCAGGGATGTTGCTGCCTTTTGGTTTAACTACCATGGCTCGAATTTATTTTAATCAAGTTTTTGTTAAACTTGACCTGTTTGCATATTATTTATGTGGGACAAATCTTGGAACTGAATATTTTGTATTCTAGTTTGGGTTACGTAACAATACGAAACAAAGCAACTGCCGCTATTTTGAATCCAATATGGATGGAACAGAATAAGCAGGGTAGCATCTTCTAAATCCAATATGACGGCCGCAGCAAAATGGTGATTTATATTTCACAGTCACCCCTATCACATGGGTATCAAATGAAAGGGAAATGGTAAAAGAAACGCAATAAGCCACGTCACGTCATTCTAAATCCAATATGGCGGCCACCGCAAAAAAAATTATAATTTCAGTTTCCGATGTAGGAGGGGGGGGGGGGGACACATCGTGGCGGCAGCGGCATACTAAGTACATACTTATAAGTTACAGCTGTAGGAACTGAGAATTGCGATTTTTTTGTATCCTTTGGTATTCTTACGATTTATACGTATATACGAGTATTGTGTCTTGTGACAAATCTAGGACTGAGTAATTCAGGGTGTTCCTTAATGATATGCGAATATTTAAGGGTGTGAATCTACAAGAAAAATTAATGTTAGTTTGCTTAATAGGCTATGGTCCAAAAATGTTTCCTAACAAAAATTTGGGGTGGCGAAGTTTTATAAAAAAAAAGGAAATTAATTAATATTTTCTGAATCGCCCCACAAAAAGAAATCTAAACTTATCTTCGAATTCCCGGTTGAATTTAAAACAAATGATCTCCCTTGAATTGTTTTCCTTCGCTGCGCCATTTTTGAGTAAAAAAATAAAAACTGTTCTATTGTGCGAGAAAATTAATGTAATAATTGAAGAATGCAATTTAGCAATAATAGTTGCTCTGGAATATGTCACTGGCTGTTGACATCTGACAAGTCTCTGTTGTTCAAATCTGTTCGCTGTGACATCTTTTTCATTATTTAGTACAATCTTGTTACTAATGGTGAATTATTCAAATGCAGAAATGGCAGAAATGCATTACGTTTATGGCCTTGCCGATGGTAATCGTGAGCAAGCCAGACGGATTTATCACCAGAGATATCCCGATCGTGCTTTGCAAGCTTTTCTAACATTCATCATCGTCTTGTTGAAACTGGTTCTGTGTCTTGGAGAATTTTAGTAGATCTTTTGTTATATCTTTACCATATTTTAAGAGTACAGGCATTACTTTCCATTGATTTTCCAAGGCGTGTGACCTTTTGTCAGGGGTATCTTCAACAAATTACACAACATCCGCAATTTGAATCAGTGGTTTTGTTCATGGACGAAGCTAATTTTTCTCGAAATGCCATTCAGAATTTCGACAATAATCATTTGTGGACAGAAGAAAATCCCTATGCCGTAACCGAAACCCATTTCCAATACCAATTTTCAGTTAACGTATGGGCAGGAATTATTGGCAATCACTTTATTGGCCCATTCTTCTTGCCGGGACGACTTGACAGACAGACTTACCTTAATTTTCTTCAACAACAGTTGCCTTTGTTGCTTGATGATGTTCCGTTAGTAATAAGAAACAATATGTTGTACATGCCTGATACAAACTTTTTATCCAATCATTGGATTGGCCGCGGAGGGCCCCAAGAATTGCCAACAAGGTCCCCAGACCTCAACAGTTTATCTTAAGACACTAGTGTACACAAGTCCCACTAACACTGTAGAGGAATTAAGAGAAAGAATAGTTGCAGCTTGTGATAGACTAAAAAATACTCCAGGGATATTTCAACGAGTGCGCAATTCCATGAGAAGGAGGGCGGAAGCATGCATACTAAGTGAAGGGGGCCATTTTCAACAATTTTTGTAATCATTGCGTTGCTTTTAATGTTATGTTTATGTTGTCAGTTACTGTTGTTCATTACCCCTAATGTGTTTAATTTTTCCAATTAAATTAATAATTTTGCAAGTTAGACAATAGCACGGTTTTTATTTTTTTACTCAAAAATGGCGCATCAAAGGAAAACAATTCAAGAGAAACTATTTGTTTAAAATTAAACGGGAAATTCAAAAATAATTTTTATTTGCCAAAAAACCATTGGCGTACCATTTTTTTCTTAAAGTCAATACCTGTACGCACGCTACTGTTAAAGCTAAAAATTATTTTTGCATTGGAAAATATGCAACTTTATTAACTTTCAGTACGTACTAAATATCAGTGAAATATCTGAAGCGGTTCTGACAATATTAATTATATTTAATTTTTTTCCTAAAACTTCAACACCCTGAGCTTTTGTAAGGAAACACTTTTCCCACATTTAAATATTCGCATATCATTAAGGCACACCCTGTATATTAGCTATACAGATTGCACTTAAAAAGTGATCTATGTTCTGTTGCTCAATAGTATATTTGAGAAGTGCGTAAAGTTTAACTGATTTTGTTCTGGGTTGGTGTTGCAGCGAAGCAGTATGTTAGATGAACGCCTAAATTGGAAATAGATATTTATGAGGTTTGTTTAGCGGTGAGCCTGTGGCCTATCCAAAAAATGCGTAGATCGGTGCTCAAAGTCAATACCTATAATAAATTCGCTTAAATCACAGAGCTTCTGAACTACACGTGAATATGAGAATATGTACAGCCCTGTAATCCTGTACTTGTTTCCTACAAGCATACATTATCAAAATAATTACGATCTAACAGATATAGTCTTCTCCAAAGGCATCTATATTGAATTTCAAAAAATATTTGACTATAGCTATTGATATTTTTATCACCTGCTGATATAATAGAAGTGCTTGATTGTGTCAGTATTTGTACCAATTAGATACTTGATTTGTTTAATCCTTAAGCTTAGTACACACTAGTGGACCCCGTTGCGCAATTTGTCTATAGGCAGTCTGGAGACGGTCTCAAGACACGATCTATAGATGGTCTATAGGCATCCTTCTTTGTCTCGTCTAGCGTCCATACGATAATGTGCATTTTTCGGTCTCATTTTCGTTTTTGCCGTCAGACATTGTTTTGTGTGGAATGCGACTTTTGGTCTCACAACAGACCCGTAGACGGGGCTTGGCTTATGTACGTGTCTACATAGACATCCTCAGATATGTTTCAGAGGACAAATTCGCACATGTGTACTAGTTCTGAGAATTTCTGAGCAGTGTCCATGTTTTTTCTTTCAAGCTGGCATTGACCAGATAGAACACAATGGATTCAAGGAGCAATAATCGGATAAAAGTTCCACTAAGGTTGAAAAATTACCAGCCCCAAATATACTTTACATAGTCATCCCTATACTATGGGTACCAAATGGAAAAGATCGATGAGGGAAACATAAGCACAATAACGTCGTTCTAATTCCAGTGTGGCCTTCGTCGCTAATTGGCGATTCATAATTCCTATGGTCACCGCTATGACATGGGTATCAAATGGAAGGGATTAATGAGAGAAACACATTAAGCAAATAACATCATTCTAAATTCCATAAAGCGATCGCAGCAAAATACCAATTTATCGTTATATGATTTATATATATCGGAATTTTATAATACAAATAAAGTAAGCAGTTTTATGATTTCCTATTAATATAAATACCCAACTAGTTATTTGACATCACAAATACTAAAAAGCAAAAAATAAATAGAATGAAAAAATACATTGTTAAAAACAAGCTTTTGCTAAAAAAAACGAACTGAAAATTAAAATATTTTTTTTCTTATTGGAAATATTTGAACGATAATGAAGCTTCTTAATCTCAAATTTTCAAATAGCAGCGTGTTGCGTTATGACAGCAGGATGGAACAAGGGTATAACTCGTTTTGATTTGAAAATTTGACATGAAGAAGCTTCGTATTCGTTTTATTTATCAGCCAAATAGAAGCTTGTTTTCAAAAATGTTTTTTTTGTTTTATTTCTATTTTTAGTATGTAGTTAATTTTGGGAGGTGTTGATATTTGACTTCCTACAGAACTGGAAGAAGCTTTGGCATGTCGCAATCGCAACAGAGTTCGTCGGGCGATCCAAGAATTTGAACATCGAAGCAGGCTCAATAAGCCATTGGAACGACCAATCATTGATTACGATGAGACTAGTAGGAGTGAGGAACCTCTGATTGAGAAGTTATCCCAGTTGAGGAACTCCAGGAAAAATGGTCGTCAAAGGGAGAGGCTTGGTTGTTCAAGAAGGAGCCAAAGTAGAGGAGAGAAGGAGTATCAACAAGAGGTAGAAATTTTGGCTTCTAATAGAGTCCCATAAATGAATGGATAACTGTCCGTTTGTGGTTTTCACCAGCCAGATGAAATCTGGTCTGCAGATTTTAACTTTTTTTTAGTGGCCACGCACTGGACTCTTTGCATTTATTTTTGTAAAAAAATTAATTTTCAAGAAAGATATTATCCTGTATTCCTTATCCCAAACAACAAAAAAACGATTGTACTCTTTGAATAAGAGTAATGTTCACTTTCGTTTTCAAATTCCGTGGGATTTTCCACTTTGGTTACATCGCCATTATTTTTGAAGCTTCAATGTTGGCGGGGCGACATGGTAAGCTTGGGTCTAGTTTGTATTAGTACTGTAGTGTAGTGTGAAATATATTCTAACGAAACCACCTGTTTGCTGTCCTAAGTGTAATTTATTACTCTACACTAATTCATAACAATTGCAACCAATTTATGGCATATTTATAACCATGCGGTCTGGACTACAACATTCCGCCTTATTTGACTTTGACTGCCTCCACTGGACTGTCACAAAACACAAGACTGAAGAAGTGGAAGCTGCACGTTAAACAATGGCAAATACCGTTGACATTTGTCAGATGATTGCGCGCCTACTTGCCCTGGAGATCTGGAGGGACTAATGAAATAATGCTAACAATGCGTCTGGAATAAGGAATTCTAGGAATCTGCCTGAGATTTCGTTTTGTTTGTACATTCCAAGGCAAGGTTTCCACCTCCTTGACCATAGACGGCCGATTTTGGTCAGTACCCATCTAGCGCTCATTGGGGACTGTCGCCCTGCTTCAAATAGGCCTCCTTCTTGAGTTTGACAGTAACCAAACCTATTGTAGAAGCCTGTGCGAACCTTTTCTGGTGTAACATTTTGGCAACGCGGAAACTTGCACGAGCTTCTGCGTCAGTTTCCAGGGGGAAATGTTGCATACACTTTCAAAATTTCACAGCGTATCATCTAAGAAAAAACTAAACAGTTTAAGATCAAATAACAACTGTGCCGAAATCACTACTAAAAACGTGCTGAAAAACTGTTTCGGGATATCCTGTATTAAATTGGATCAATTGTTCACTGAGAAGCAGTTCTTTTCCTGAAAATTTGAAATACTCTACAATAACACCAGTTCCCAAAATAAAAAATTCTAAAAGATGCAGCGATATGAGACCAGTAAATGTGTTACCAGACATTGAAAAATTATTCCATAGTGCATGACCAATTAATGTAATTTATAGAAGAAAACAAAATTTTAGTGGAGGCGCAAGCAGGCTTTCGAAAAAAATCTTCCACAGAAACGGCTTTCCAGTTGGTAACTGAGAATTGGAGAAGAGCCATAGACTAAGAAGAAGTTGTCATAGCAGTATTTTTGGATTTGAAGAGGGCATTTGAAACGACTGATAGAGATATTTTGTTAGGTAAATTGAGGGCATATGGTATAATAGGAAGTGTTTTAGATTGGTTTAGAAATTATTTCTATGTCAAAAGGATGCAAGTTACAAAAGTTAATGACACCATTTCATCAAAAATTGAAAATACGTTGGCTGTTCCACAGGGCAGTATCCTGGGACCACTTCCTTTTATTTTATACATAAATGATTTACCTGACATAGTCAAAAAATGCAAAATTCAGATTTTCGCCGTTGACACTATGATTTGTATAAGTACTAAAAATATTCAGTCTGGTATCTCTTGTATAAATCGGAAAAAAACAATGTACAAATGTTCAACTGAATATTGATGGTGAAGATATCGAATTCGTAGAAAATTTTAAATACCTGGGGGTTTTTGTTGACTCTCGATTAATTTTTGATATTCATTATGAAAAAGTTATAAATAAGATTAGTAGTAAAGTGGGATATTTATCGAGAGATGTCTGGATGTCTGAGTTCATATAGCAGAAAAATTATCTATAATACCATCATTCTTCCAAATTTCTTGTACTGACTATTCTATATTTAGCAAATAATTCCATTTTTGAAATACTGCAAATTTTACAAAATAAGTGCATGCGAATAATACTAAATAAAGATAAATATACTCCAATTAGGCAAATGCTTAGCAAATTAAAATGGCTCAATGTAAAAAATTTTATCAAATATCTTGTAATGATATTCATTTATAAAGTAAAAAATAATATATTTCCATCAAGTCTAACTAATTTAACATCATCTAATGTCGACCATCATTTACATAATACCAGAAATAAAGATGACTTCCATTTAATGACCAAAAAGTATAACATATGCTACAAATCTGTATTCCATCAAGGGTTGATTGAATATAATAAATTATACTCAGAGATAAAAGACCAGAAAACTTTGACAAAACTTAAAGTAAAATTGAGAAATCACTTGTTAAATCTACAATTATAAGTTGCCCAGCATTTACATCATACACCATATGGCTTGAATTTACTAGTTCTAAGTTGTTTACAATTATTCTGTTTATGTAGCCAAATGTGCTAAATAAATCTTTCTACTACTACTACCGCCGTTGCTAATCAGTGTGTTGATGACCTTCGATCTTCAGCCGGCTTCTATCTCTTTCTAACATGTGTTGATACGCACTTCTAGCGTTTCTCTCTCGTACACATTGAACTCAAGCCGTCAGACAAATTTGGTTTTCCCTGTATACTCGTACACATATCAGCAAAAATTGACTACAAATTAATTGGCGTCAGAAATGTTAGAAATCGTAAGATATCGCCAGTTTGCTGGATACTGGGCGCCATTAAAGTAGACAATCGCCAAGCTATCCATTTGAAGCCGTCAAATCCCCACTTTGGCGAAAAATCGCCACGCCTGGCAACCCCGAATCCCGGTAAGCAGCACGTCACGTAACATACAGTTACCTCGGTGTTGCCAGTTCGCCCATAAGCGCCATAAGGCGTTTCACAATATCCTTCACTGTGCAATTTTTAATCACCGCCAAAGTTTGTTGACGTGTGCCAAGTTTCTTGAATTTTGACATCCTTCTAGGAGTACTCTAGACCGCTCTCAAGCAAAGGGCAGTACCGAACAGCATCTAAGACAGAAGAACCGCGAAGGTCCAAGTGGAAGATGGACGAAACAGGAGAGTGGTACAAAAGCCCTCGTTCTCTGAAGCGAAGCTCAAGATCGTCATCACCAAGAAAAGGTTATCATGATGATATGTGCGCATGTTGTGTGTGTAAGGTGTACAATAGGACAAAATAAATTACTCTCTATGAGCAACCTTTGTTCTTCTTATAAGTGCAGCCTCAATTCTTCGCCAAAGTCATGAGTGGGATGAACTTATCATTTATCTTCATTAAAGACCAGCATATATGTATTTGATTATCTCGCGAGCAGTGGCTGTTACATTATTAAATTTCCCAGTAAATAAAATCACTTGCTATGCATCATCTTTCAAGAATGTCCTCTAAAGCAATACCTATCACATTCTAGACACGTACGTACATTTTTCTGGATGTCGCGACAGCCTTTGACAAGGTGTCGCACGCATGCCTCCTTTATAAACTTATTCCAAAGGGTTCCCTCGAAGAAAGGAAATTCATTCAATCAAAACTGTATAGCTATAGTTATACAACACAGCTTAGACCTCCAATAATGCCATCTCTGAAGCAGATGTTACATCACATCAGAGCCAAACATTGATAGCTGAAGCATCAAGACATTTAGGCAAGACGTGTAGCTACAGAACGAGTGCACGTCTAGTGAACAATAGATAGTTCTAAGCTAACATCTTGAAGAAAAACCTACTTAATGTTACACATATAATGTCATAAGACCGACATAATCTCTCTTTTCTAGATAGGTAAAGCCCCAGCTGATGGTCGATAGCGGCCTTGTCAGTCTAAATATTGACGATGCTGACGACGCTGAATGAAATTATTCAAAATGGTGGATTTTATTTCCAGAATGTATTTGGAAACTTTTCTAATTCATTAAAAACAATAACTCTTTTAAATTAAAAATTATGGTATACTTTTTAGTTCGATTAGCTATGAAAGCGTGTTGTTTAGTTTTTTAAGCTATTATGTATTTTTCATTTTTTTGTTCGATTTATCAATTAGTTTTTTGTGGAAACGAGGTATTGAAATGTCTTACGAATCATTTCGTAATTTAATCAATCTTCACCGTTGAATGGAGTTTTCCTGTTAACTTAGAGCAATCAAGTTCTTCGATCCGAATACCGTCTAAAGATCTTACACGACTAAGTGCTACATAAGCTTGTCCAGCAGCAAACAGTCGCGAGCCTAGATAAATGACGCATGATCGACTGTACAACCTTGCAACTTGTGGACGGCCGAAGCCCAACTCAGGATTAATCGCAACATTCGCAATGAACAAGGTGAGAATGCAATACCTTGAAAAAGTATCTGCCTTTGTTGTGTTGTGCCGAGTGCCCGAACCAACAAAGAGTAAGTCCGAAGCTGCACGCATGCGCAGATCGCGAGCTAACTCCTTCTAGCGGTCTTAATAAGGATAATGGAAAACTGTTATCAAATTATTGCATTATCAACGGTCCTTGATACGTGTGCGAGGTTTCAAATTATACTCAAAGATTCCGTTTCATGCATACATACATACATACGTACATACATACATACATACATACGTACATACATACATACGTACGTACATACATACATACATTCATACATACTTACATACATACGTACGTACATACATACGTACATACATACGTACATACATACGTACATACATACGTACATACATACATACGTACATACATACATACGTACATACATACATATATACATACATTCATACGTACGTACGTACATACATACATACGTACGTACATACATACATACATTCATACGTACTCGTACATACATACATACTCGTACATACATACATACATACATACATAGATACAAAGATACATACATCCAAACATACACACAGGCAAGCTTATAAAACCGTGTTAAAAAGGTGTTACATGACACTTGTGTCTTCAATTACAATTGTATACGATGGCATATTTTAAATGATGTATATGGGCCTGTGACTGGAAAACACTGAAAGCATTTCTTTTGGGAAAAATAAGAAACCAGTATTTACTAAAAATATGATTTTATTTGTAACAACGTACTAAACAGTAAACATTTATATCATTTCAATATGGTATCTCCTCATAACCTGTGCTCTACAATAAATTACAACTCATAGACGGTTCTGAATTTTAAGAGAACCTAAGGATCAGCGAAAAGAACACTACAACTACTGACAAAGTAATCCTACCTATATTATACACACGTGTTTATGAGCTAAATATCACCGATACTAAGCATATACAAATTTTTGAGTTACTTTTATCTGTGAAGGTAAGTTATAACTCAACTATCTGTCATGCATCGTAGTATATTTGAAATATCCAAGTTTATCTACACCCGTTTGTGTTATTGATATAGACACCTTGTATTTCTTGTTATGCTTCACAAGAATCAACCCAGAACTTATTGTTAGTGACAAGAGTTTTGGCAATAAGTTACATACATTCTTAGCTCTTTTGTTATCACTAGTTTTGACTTGTTTTTCCAAAAAGCAGAAATATACTTGACAAAAACTGATTCTTGTGAATTTTTATGCACGCTATCTTAAATCTACTGTAAAATAAGATAGCTTTAAATGGTACAGACACATATTGTCGATCTTATGTTTTTTTATTTATGCTTTGAATCGTGTCCTAGTTATGTATCCAAAAACGTAGATTTGCTAATCCACCAGGCAGATTTTTCCATGATTTTTGTAGTAGTAAAGCGAACGAAATTGCATTTGGAACTATCTTATCTTACCTACAAAAAACAAAGGTATACAACTATATTCACAGTTTGTATTCATAACCCATTTTTACAAAAATACTCCAAGTATACAGTTAGACAGTATACAAGGCGGTCTAAAAGAAAATTCTCCAAAATTTATATAAGGTGAAACTGCATCATTTTCTTTTTGAAAAATGTTTACCAGGTTTGAAAAAAGCCACCTTGTGCTGGCACCTTGTTTTATCCAAGGATAGCCTAAGCTCAAAAAATTGTCGACAATACAAGCATTAAGAAACGTTAGGGTAAGGTCTTAAATTCGTCTCATATCCATTACAATCGCAATATTTTTTGATACTATGTATTTTTTGTTGTATTTAGAAAAACAAACTTGATGCATAAAAGGTTAAACATTTGCAACGCAATCAATGGGTTTCATTGAATATGGGACAAAATTGCAAGGAATAATAAAATAAATACTACCCAGAGCAAAACTAATAAACTGTTTATTTGAACGTAACATAAAATATTCTATTCGGGGAGACTGGTATAATTTAAACAAAATCTCTGTTCCAGGATTTATTTAGATGAGCTCTATCGTATTATATAAGATATTTATACGAGATAAAGGTATTTTTATGGAATCACAAGCTCAAGAAACATTTTCCAATAAAAACAAAATATAGTCACCCTGTATATAATAACAAACATACAATAAGTAAAGGAAGGTATCAGTCTCAATACACACTATATCTACAATAGAAAACGTGAGATTTTCCCTAATCTCCTGATGTCCCTGGAATAACAATGCTTATGCAGTGATAACATATTTTTTTGGTGATAAATTGCACTATTTCTTGCTCAATTGCAAATGAAATTTTTTTAACAAGTGTGTCCTATCAGTTTTTGTTAATTGCAACATTTTGAAGTTTTCTGAGGTCCAATGTACAGTTTGTGCTATGTGTGAACTAGAAGCAAATAAGTAAGTAGCATAAAGAATGAAACAATATCGGAAACATGCATGTTATATCTGCTAAGCATGTTATGGTCGGTAAAACATATTTTCCCAACAGGGGCTTCATCTAAATCTACGGGACGACTACCTTGCATCTATCATGTTCAGTTGCCTGCAACAGAATTGACACGAAATAAGAAAATGCATACATGATTTGTAAAAGGAAAAATCAAATATGATAGTTGATTACTCAGATGAAACAAAATCTGAGTTCTTGGGATGAAATGGAAAAATCGACGAAAATAAAAAATTCCGGCATCCGTAGAATGTAAAATGTCGATTTTTATTTGCTTAAAATAATGTTTTGTGGACGCGATATCTTCATTCATCATTATACACGCTCGTTGAGAGGAAGAGGGAAGCGAAAGCATTCCGATGAGTGTCGTTATATGTATATGATGCAATTTTAAGCGATATACCAATCATAATCGGTCATGGTTGGTTTTGATCTTTTCATTTTAAGCGACACGGTTTGTAAGAGCTGTCAAATGACGTCACGAATTGGCCCTTTGTGACGACACCGTGTATGACATTTAAGGGTCGTATCGTCAATCGTTCTTACAATTGTAGGACGCCTTCATGGACTACTTGATTTTCATCCTGTTCTACTGATCCGTGTCAGCGCTCTAGATTGAGGTTATGTTACAAATATTTGGTTGCATGAAATTGTTCATGCTTTTGATTTATATTTGTTATATCAGCCTGAAATTTCCTATAATTTAAACAGAAAACATAGTCTCACAACAGGAGAGCGCTGTCGCTGACACCGAACAGTAGAAATCTAGAAATACCCCTCCCTGCCTTTCTGAAGGAGAGAAAATACTATGGAAATCAAAGAAGCCATAAAGGCTTCCTACAGTTGTAGCTACGATACTGAGGACATGGCCCTTAGACCAATACTACCCTTGCTCAGGTGCTGGTTTCTATGCGGTCCTTGTATGCCAAACGTCAATCCATGAATATAATATAACCTTTTCCTGTTCTTTTTTGCCTTTTGCGTTTGTCTTGTGGCGTCCGTAAAAAGTCATCAATTATTAAAAAACGATATCAGGTGACAACATACGTGGATCTACTGAGTTTCTGTGGAGTCCTCCATTGTTTTTGTATACGATTTTTCAGATGAGTGCATCCACAACAGCGAGTATGTTTAGTAAACAACAACTTAAGAGAAAGGAAACATTTGCCGGGAGGATTCGAACCCGCATCTCCTCCTTCCCATCGAGTCGACCTAACCAGCAGCACCAGCTGCCAACAAACTTTCAGGATCGATCGTTAGAGCGTTGGAGGCAACGCAACTTAGACCAGTTAGCTTACTTCTAGCATTTTCAAAGCTTTTGGATACGGAAATAAAGACACAAATATCCGAATATATTTTCAGTAATGAAATAATTCCATCAATGCAGGGAAAACATTAGCACAATAACGGCACTAGCCAATATCACTGCATGATGATGTTATAAGAGACCTTGATCAAGAAAATGTATGTATGTATGTATGTATGTAACTTGTTTGGATCTGTTAGATTACAAAAAAGCTTTTGATATGATAGACCCTGAAACTTTTTACTTAAGATGTCTTATTATGGTTTTACTGACGCTGAAGTCAAGTAGATACGCTATTATTTATAGATGATGGTATAGTAACACAAAAAATATTGATTGCAGAACGAATGAACGCTTATTTTATAGAAAGTATAAATGAGATAGTGGAATCAATCGAAGATTGGGATCCAAATCTATGTCACATGCAAGTTACTTATAATTCTTCTTCCAAACAATAAATATCAGCCCTCTTTCTTTCAGCTAAATTTGCGATTGACTAGTAAACTAGTAAACTTTTTCTATCCATGTGCTCTTGTATTCCGCATCAAGATATTTTTAAATGATTTTGTAAAAAGAGTAAATAAATTTCGCCATTCAAGGGCTAACCTTCGGTCGGACCATAACAATATTTTATACATTTGCTGAAATTTATGACTTACCAGAACTTCTGCACACAGATGATGTCACCCCCCTTTACTCGTGTCTCTTGTTGAGAACGGTTGCTTCGTTGTAGTCTTCCTTAGGCTGATCCTTATCTCCCCATCCCCAAACATCGTGAGTCCCATCCCCTGTACGCTGTACCCTCCTCTTGATCATGTCCACGGACACAGTTTTCATGTCGTACGCCCAGCCGAACTTGGCGAAGAAATCGATGAATGCTGACGAGAAGTTGAAGCTGTAACCGCCCAGTTCGGAGGTCTTGTAGTCCCATGGGAATGTGTGGTGGTAGTTGTGCCAACCTTCGCCCAAGGCCAGGACTGCTACAGTGATGTTTTCAGATGGGTTGATGTACCTGGAAAGAAATGTAGGAACGTTATCAACCTACCTAAAATCTGATAAATCTACAATTCTTTTGATCGTCAGATGAAGATACAGGGTGCGTCATCTATTATTTTTTTTCTATTTGAAAAGTCAACACGCTTTTTACGACGTGAAATCGATTTCTTTTTATTGATAAATGAAGGTTGGTTTATGCCATTTATGTATGAAAAATAACATCAGTCATGTGATCTCCGCGGCTTCGTTTACAGGCCAACATCCGAACATTAAAATTTTCAATGACTTTTCCCAGAATAACCGGGTCTATGACCGCAATTTCAGTCCGAATATTGCGCTTTAGGTCTTCAATTGTCCGGAGACCATTCGCATACACTTTTCCTTTCAAAAATCCCCAAAGAAAATAGTCAAGAGGTGTTAACTCGCACGATCTCAGCGGCCAACTGACATCTGAATTTCGTGAAATTATGCGGTCTTGAAATTTCGCGTGCAATAAGGCGATTGTTTGGCAAGATGTGTGAGCCGTTGCTCCGTCTTGATGAAACCAAAAATCGTCGGCACCAATACGATCCAATTGTGGCCACAAAAAGTCTGTTAACATGCCGCGATAACGGTCCCTGTTGACGGTAATGCCTTTTTCTTCGGCATCTTCAAAGAAGAATGGTCCAACGATGCCACCAGCCCATAATCCGCACCAAACAGTCACTTTTTCAGGATGGAGAGGTTTTTCATGATATTGGTGTGGATTTTCAGCCCCCCCCCCCCCCCAGAATCTGCAATTTTGCTTATTTACGTACCCAAAATCCGTCTTCTCTTTCCAGCATCCAATTAAGAGAAACACGCCGCTGCTGATGGTCCGCCGGCTTCAATTCTTGTGTTAGTTGGATTTTGTAAGGATGAAGGTGTAAATCAATGTGTAAAATCTGGCGTAAAGTGGTCTCACTCATTCCCAATTGTTGCGAACGGTGCCTAGTCGAGGTGGTTGGATCTTCTCGCACACTTTCACTCACTGCAGCTATGTTTTCACGAGTACGAGCTGGACGAGCATGTTGGTATGGTCTACGACCTTCAGCTGAACCAGTTTCCTCAAAACGATTAACAATCCAACGAAATTTCAGGCTCTGTAGGGCATCCATGTCTGCCAATGCGAAGTTTGCGAAAAGTATTTTTTATATAACGACCGCTTTCGTAATAAGTTTGGATAACCAAAATGCGTTGTTGTGTTGTAAACGAATCCATGACTATAAATGGCATACGTTTGACAGTTCATTTATGCATACCACATGACTTTTGACTCACATGGTAACACATAAACTAATAGGTAAAAAAAAGTAATAGATGGCGCACCCAGTATATGGGTAACGAGCACCAACTAAGATGGTTGAAAACTAACTCTCTCATACACGTTAAATATGTCAGTGATATTTGGATTCATCTGTATATGAAGTTTATGGTAAAACTGATTCCATATATGAATACAGTGGAACTCTGGAGCCCCAGTATTTAAAAAATTGTCTCATTATTCGTATACAGAATTCCTGATGTCGCCAATTTTCACCAATATACTAAGATAGTTTAGGAATGGTGCTCGCCGCGCCATATGCTGTATTGACTCTTTATTCACGCTACGGCCACCTCGGTGCCATTTTTCATATACAGGGTGGCGCATCGAAAACAAAACAGACGCATTTACTGACAGATCAGTTTTTTTTTTGGAAAAACGCTCAGACCCGTCGATTTTGTTTTCGAGGGGGACACAAGTTTGGCAAAAAATCACGTTAACACGTGCAGCCCCGTGGGCGGGGGTGACACCAACCCTAAAATCTTAAATGGAAAGGGGGGTCGAGTGATAACTTATTTTAAAGATCCTTCAATTCCCTTTATAATGATGTAAAATACATGAGCTTCACATCAGTAGTTTTGAAGATTTATTGATTTAAAGCTTAAAGTAGACTTTAATAGGTACATCAGATTAGATTGTACTACTTTCAGAAGAAATTTGACTAAAAGAATTTACTTAATAAGTAAATGCTTTTCTTCACTACACCCATGGTTTGTTTATCATTTTGTTGTTGAAAATAGCTATTAGAGCGTTTTTTTATGGAAATATCGCGTACTTATTTTAAATAGGAATTAAGTACATAGTTTGCAATTGGTTTGACCAAACTTTGTTGCTAAATTAACTTGTAACGCTTTATTACACAAATTAACCATGGTATATTCCACAGCAGAAAGAGTTGAAATTATCGAAATATTTTTCGTAAATAATCAGTGCGTTAATAGAACAGCAGAAATATTTAATGAGCGACATGATAACAGTAACGTGCATCTAAAATGTGTTCTAGAACTTGTAGCTATATTTCGGGAAACTGGGTCATTCGCCAATAAAAAACGCAACATTGAAAATCCCATAAGGAACGAAGCAATAGAAGTGGGGGTTTTAGTCTATGTAGATCCTTCGTTAAGTACCCGCAAATTGGAGACTATGTGTGGTGTTAGTCGACGTACTGTCCAACGGATTCTAAAGGCCCATACTTTTCATCCGTATAAAATTCACCTGGTAGGTGGTAAGGGTGTAAGAATCCTCAAAATTGTACACAAAATCATGCAAATTTTATCGTCCAACCGGATTCCCAGGGAAGAGGGGAACGGTTCCCCCTAGGGGTCAGATTCCTCCTACAACGAATAGTATTCATTGACAATGGCCAAGCGAGCCTCTCTGCAAATTTCGTGACTATAACGAGTTTGGTTCGCTTTCGGTAACCACTCAGCAATCTAAAAAATTATACAATGATACTAATTTAAATGAATTTAACTTATTACGGCTTATTGCTCAATAATAACGATCCATTATATGATACGTGAATATAAAAATATGCAGAGTTACGTGAGTTAAGAAGATGCAGATATTTTATGCGTGTCAAAGTTCAAAGATACGATTACTTTTATATAACACATAGTCTCATTTTAATTGATTGATCTGAATACAATCGAAACTTTCCACATAATGGAAATGCGCTTTCTTTGAACATAAATAAGATAATTTGCTATTTTTGTTGACTCTGCTCAACATAAATGTTTTTGCTAAAATTTTGCGAACATGGAAAATACCAATACGTTCACGGTCAAATGATAGTCGATAGGGTATTTTAAAGGACAGCATATCAGCATGATGTTTATTGTTCACAAATGTCAAAGATATTTCAGGACTTTAAGGTTACGGGACAGTCAATTCATGATATGATGCACTATGATGGTGATCTGTTACACAATGACTAAAAACGTCACACTTTTTGGAGTTGTTTTGAAGTGAGCACGCCAGTCGAAACCAATGTGCTTCAGACAATAGGCAACTTGAATCATATCTAGTTTCATAGAATAAATGAGTATTTCTTATCGTATTTGAATTAGGAAAACGAAATATATCGATTTCAATTTTTAAAAGCGCACGGCTGATATATAGGTCCAATCTTAAGAAAATACATTTTTTTAAATAAAAAACAGTGGAAACATTATCGGCCATGATGTGACGTCATATAAATTGTAAGCAAAGAAATGTCATCCGTATGTCACTCGCGGACTAAAGTTCTCTTCTTTATGTATTTCTAACAGACTAACAATCAACGTAAAAGGTTATCGTTTTGTCGTTGTATTGAAAGAAACAATCATGGACAATCGATTCGTAACAGCAGAAAGCACGAATTTTCCGACACATTAACGGTTGATAATTTCAAGCCATATTTCTGCTTTACTGAGCTAAGAAACATCGATATGCACTTCTATGTAAGTACAGTACATGTAATGATCGACATAGAAAGAAACAATAAGTAATAACAACTGAAACACAGGATATTGACGATGAAGAAATTGGTTTTGAAGGCTATCAAATTATAAGAGCAAACACAATTTCAAGACATACAGGTGGTATATTATTATATATTTTATGTGAAATAGAAACTAGAGTACATGAAATTGTAGCTGTTGAGTACCAATGGTGGTACATCAATGCTGAATTGAATCTTAACCACAATTATAATTTACACATTTACTACAGATCTCCAACTGGAAATATAAACAGATTTATAGTTTTACATTTTTATCGAAACTGCATCACGGTACATTAGGGCGATTTTAATATAAACTTCGATAATCAAGACTTCTACACAAAGAAATTTAAACAGGTACTCAGTTTTTATGGACTATGGCAAAAAGTCGATGATCACACCAGAATTACAAATCAATCAAGAACAACTATAGATTTGATAATAACGAACGAACAAAATTTAATTGCAAAAGTTATGCATACTCCTAAGATCAGTGATCATTCATGGATATGTTTTGAAGTTGAAAGTAAATTTGACGCTAACAAAGTGGAAGAAACTACTATGTAAAATTACGAGAAGCTCTTTTACTGCAAGACATGACTGAAGCGTTTGTTGATGTTGATAGCTACTATATAAACCGATTGCATAATATTGAAGTTTGCATAAAAGAAGCTACAGTCAAGACAACAATTTATAAAAGGAAAAATCCAATACCATGGTTCTCGCAGACGTTCAAGGATTCTGAATTAAGAAGAGACTACAATTATAAAAAGTTTATGATTACTGGAAGTGAAAATGATTGGCCAGAATACACAAGATCAAGAAACCAATCTATAGCAGTTCTACGAAATGAAAAGAAAAAATATAAAAATAATAGCAAATACATGTGGAAAACGTTGAAAAATTACATGATCTAAAATGAAATTCGACGATGGGGTAATTACAAACGAAGAAATAATAGCAGATTGAATGAATACTTCTTTCATAGAAAGTGTCAACGACATTGTAAAATCAATTATTGACGGGGAATCCCAACCAATGTCCTATTAGCTCAGATTATAATGCATCATTCAGTGAGTTTAGAACTATAAACATTAATCGGCTCAAGAAGATTATATCAAAAATTAAATCAAATCAAAAGTGAGAAAGTGAGATTTTATCTAAAAGTGTGCTTAATGAATGTTTTGATATT